GAGCTGTCGTTCAGCATCTTAGCTGTAGAGGGCAGTGTCACTGGCCCTCATATGTGGGATCCGAACCAGGGCCCTCTGGCATCCCAAGCGAGTTCTTAACCATCGCGCCACTCGGCCCGCCCCTCCACTGTTCTTTTTTGGATTGGGAGGGAGGATACCCAACTAGTTATCGCTGTACCACCAAGTTTCCCCTGTAACCTTGACCAAGTCCTTTCCTCTCTTTATACCTACCGTATTTCCCCATGTATAAGATGCATCCTTTTTCAAAAAAGTTGGGGTCTAAAAACTGGGTGCGTCTTATACAGTGGTGGTAGATTTTTTTTACTAGCATTTCCCGCAAGTGATGAGGAGTGGTATGAATTTTATGATGAATAAAACTTGATTTCAATAACTTCATGTAATACATTTTTTTCAAATTTCAGGCCCCCAAATTAAGGTGCGTCTTATACATGGGAGCGTCTTATACATGGGGAAATATGGTATTTTCTTTTTGTAAAATGAAGGCGCCGGGCTGATGGTTTCTGTCACCTGTCCAGGTTTGACACTCTTATGTGGGGAGAATAGTGGTCTGTAGGTGTGGGAAGCCAAGGGCAGAAGCTTCGATTAAGATCCAGGAGGCTTCTCTCCCTGACCCTGGTCACATCACTGCCTTCCTCTGCTGCCCACGGATCCAAAAGCTCCCATTTCAAGGAGATTAAAGGCCCTCAAACCTACACCAGGGCTGTAGTTCTCCCTCTCTCCCTGGGCAAGGGCTGGTGAGTGAAATTCTCCCTCCTTCCCGTTCTCTGCCCCAGGGGCCCTGCCTCTGTCCCATGCCCCTGTCACACTTCTGTGCTTCCCTGTGAATCCACCTCCAGGCCTGGGGGATGCAGGGTGAGATGGGGAGCATATCTGCAAGGGCTGCCCCTGCCAGTTACACCTTTCAAACCCTGCCTCCCACCGCTGACCGAGATTGTGATCTGGTGGCTGATAGCTGCCCTGGGCCTCGCCCTCTTGGCAGCCCTGGGTTTCAGTACCTGGGAGACAAGCAGGGCCGGCTGAAGCCCTCAACTGACTTCTCGCTTTCCTTTTAAGGTGAGCAGGTAGGGAGAGATGTGGAGAGGAGGAAGGGGGCAGCTCTCTCTCTCCAAAGACCCATCTCTTTTGCAATACATGTGGGTTCTGGAGTGGGAGTATCTGGGTTCAAATCTTCATTTCATCACTTTCATTTACATGTTCTTGAATGAGTTACTTCTCCAAGTCTATATTCCACCACCTGTAAAATGAGGATAATAATAAGCATTTCTTCCTTATAATATTGGCTTTTAGATTTAATGAGACTGTCCATGTTATATATAGACTTAGCACAGTGCATGGTCCACTGAAAGCGCTCGACAAGAGGTTAGCTATTATGATTATGATCATCATTATTCTTTTGTCCTCAGACTGAATGGAATCTGAAGAGGCCATTTAATTTGTTCTTCTGCTGCCTCCATGCCAATGGTGTCCAAACTTATCTGCCCATTAAAACCACCTGGGACCTTTAAAAAGTTCCAAAACCCAGACTGTACCCAGATCAGTGAAATCCAGTCTCTAAGGGTGGGCCCCAGCACTAGTGGTTTTGAAGGTCTCCAGGTGATTTCAACGTGTAACAAGTTTAGGAACCACTGCTCTGCTCTGTCCAACCAGTTGAGTGGTTTCCTTTGGGAATAGCAATTTGCCCTAGAAATCTCATCCACCATCTAATATTTACCTGGGGTTAAACATCTCCTTTGGGACAAGTTAAATCTCTCATGCTTTACTTTAAGCCAATTTTTCTTGTTTTGAGGGAGTAGAGAATAGCTGTCACCCTACATCAAAGACTCAGTTAGTAGTATTTGATGGGCACCTCATCCCCAGGCCTTTAAGGGAGTGACAGCAATGCCCCAGGAGCCACCCAGCTGACAGAAAATGGACTGGAGCACTGGCATTGGAGGGTGGCAGCTGGTCACAGCCAGAGACTGAAGAAGCTTTCTAAATCCTGCTTCCTGGAGCTTCCTCTTTCATTTGATCACAATTTAATAATGCCCCACATTCAGCAGGAGGGTAAATAAAAGCTGGGTGAACTTCCTATTTATTTAGTTGGCAGTAGAGACATTTGTGAAGGGATTAATTATGTGTATTCTTCATGACAGGGGCTGAAAGTGAGTGATGCGAAAAAGCCCTGCTTTTTCTAGACTGTGGTCTAGAGTTTTCAGGGAAGGCTGGGGGAAGTGGCGGGAAGGAACCCTGCTTGTATGACTTTTTGGAGTTTCCAATGTGCTCTTCCATATTTGATTTCAGCTACTCATTATATTCATAGTCACCCCGTGAAGCTGGTGTTTTATCCTTATTTTACAGGCCAGGAAACTGAGGCTCAAAGAATTAAGTGTCCATCCAAGCCATGGGTGCTGGAAAGGGCAGAACCTGGCTTCAAAGCCAGGTATTCAAAGCTGAACCTAAAGATCTTTCACCACATCACTGCCACTTCCGTCCCTTCTCCAGACACCCTCAGTTTTCTCTGCCTCTACCTGACTCAGAATCCTTGCCTTCAGGCGACTCTCTTGCATGAACCCATCCCAATCCTTAGCTCCACTTCTCTTTCCTTCCTCTTGTTCTACTGGTTTTCTCCTTATGTCTCCTGTGCCAGGAGGTTTTCCTTTCCTACTACAAGCTCCCTGAGGGGGCTAGGGTCAGGACTAGAGCTGTGCAGACCCGAGGGACTATCCGGGTTTAAGCACTGGAAGTCCTGGCTAAGTGGGACCGTTAAGTCATTCCACCAGGATCTGAGAGTAGGTATAGTTATGTTCATTTAGTATGTTATAGTGTTCTGTGCTTTTTCACGTGCCTTGAAAGCATTAACTCCTTGAGAAATAGATACCCTGATTCTTTTAAGTAGCTGAGACTCTAGAGTAGGCGACTTGCCTAAGATCACAGGCCAGTAGAAGCAGGGCTGGGAGCTGAAACCAGTTCTTGTGATAATGAATTTCAGGTTCACTCTCTCTTCTATCCCACAGTGGCTCCTGGAGATGGTCCACTAAACAGTTACTGAGCCGATATGAAGGCGTGGAGACTTGAGGCTGCCCACAGAGCCCCTCCCAGCCCTAGGATGCCATCTTCTCACCACAGCTCCCCCAAACCTCTCCTGTTCTTTCCCACCAACTGCCTTTTCCACCTCTATAGCTGTTGGCAGCTGTGATCAACCCTAACTTTTGCAAAAAAACATTTACTTATTGCACAAATACAAAGGAAAAAGACACTTAAAATATTAGGAAAAAACCCCTTCTATAATCTTTAATAAATCAATTCACATTTTATGTTACTTTTTAAGCCTGCCTTCTCTGCATTCTTAATTTTTAGGCATTCATGTCACAGGCTCCATTCCTTCATTTCACATCGTATCATAAGCATTTCCAATGCTACTACATGGTCTCCTTGATAATTATTTTAAATAATTGTACCCAAGTGAGCAAGCCATCATTCAGCCATTTTTCTGAGTGTGGACATTTAGGGTTTTTTCCCCACAAGTTATTTGTTATTTATCATCATCATCATCATCATCATTATTATAATTATTAAGTTTTGGATGATAGCTACCACCTATTTGAGCCTGGAGGGCAAGTGCACATTTTTGGTGGCCAACACTGATGCTCATTGAATGAGCTTCGGCAACCCCCTGACCTTCTGCAGTGCCCCCCGCCCTGCTTACTGTCTGAGACAGTGCTTCCCAGAACATGGGCCCACATACTAGCACTGGTCCAGGGCACTTTGTTACTGGTTTGAGAATAAGCATTATATTGTAGAACAAGCATGTAGGAACGCAATTAAAATTTTTTTTTCCTTTTAGCAATAGAACAATTTTATGTATGTTGATACTAAATTAAAAAATTGGGGTTTGTATTTTGTATATCTTAAAAAAAATCTCCTTTTAAGGGTAATTCATTTTTTATTCTATTTTACAAAGCATTGCTCTACAATAGATTGTAAATGAAGAGAAAAAAAAGAGAGATTTGGGGATAGTTTGTCTTTTGGGCTAGAACAGGGGTTGGCAAACTTTTGAGATGGAAGCCCCAATCCTGTCCTTTACAACAATTTAAAAATTATTCGAGAACCATAAAACAAATGAAATCATCATTATGTGAATATATTTTAAAAATTTTACAAATGAAACTATGATAGTTTTATTTTCATTTTCAATTTTACTTCAGAGCCACATGTACGTATCCAAAGAGCCGCATGTGGCTTGCGAGCTGCAGTTTGCCGACCCCTGGGCTGGAAGACAACGTTAGGTCCTGGTAGATGCTCAATGATCTACAACCACAGATCTTTAGTGCTACAAGACCTCATCTGTTTTGTATTTGAGCAGCCTGAGGTGTATAGAGAAGCAGTGATGCACCCAGCAAAATGTGGGTTGTTTTGGACATAGTCCCCTGGCTTTCACTTGCACTCAATGGCTACAATACTGTGTTCTCATGTGATTAAAATTTGAGATGTACATGGTGATGGTAACAGTGGGGAGCAGAGGCAGATAGTAGGGAGATCAGAACAAAACTTTTGCCCCACCATAATTCTATGGCAGCAGATGTCTCCACTGGTGTCCCTGCTGTGGTCCCAAGACAGATAGACAACCCCTACCTTTGCCCCAGATCTGCAGGACACACCTCAAAAACAAACAAGTTGATGGTGGAGTTTCTTAGGAAGAGATCAACTAATGATTTGGGGGAAACTTGTAGAGGAGTTTCCACAACTTGATCTTGAGAGATTAGTGCACTCTGATCTCTAAATGGCAAGAGATGAATGATAAATGATCAAGTTGGGGAAGTTTGCCTACAGTGCAATTTCGGCAAGTCATAGGCATGAAGTTTTAAACAGATGCTTCTGGCAGACAAACTAAACATAGATACACCCCTCCCAGGATTGGGAGGGTGCCCCGCCCAGCTAATGTGCGCGTGTATATATAGGGAGTGAGCCAGACCTCTTGCAAAGGAGTCACCACTCTTTCCCGCCCCTATCTCTGCCTCCTTCCAGCTGCCCTTTCTTGTGTCTGCTTGCCTGGATGCTCTGGCAACCATGAGCCGACAGTTTAGCTCTCAGTCCGCATTTAGCTCAAGGAGCAAGAGAGTTTACAGCCTTGGCTCTTCTGCAGGCTCTGGTGGTGGGAGTCGGGCTGTGGGGTCCGTGTGTCAGGCCCGAGGGAGGAGTGGCGGTGGTGGGTATGGGAGCCGGGCGAGGGGGTTTGGCTCTTGGAGCCTCTACAATCTGGGTGGCAGTAAAAGCATCTCCGTTAACCTAGTGGAGAGAAGCACCAGTAGTTTTGGCCAGGGTGCGGGAGCAGGAAGGGGATTTGGAGGGGGCAGAAGCTTTGGGGGTGGTGGTTTTGGGGGTGTTGGCTCTGGAGGTGGTGCTTTTGGAGGTGGTGCTTTTGGGGGTGGGAGCTTTGGAGGTGGTGGCTATGGAGGAGGTGGTTTTGGGGGTGCTGGGTTTGGGGGTAGGAATTTGGGGCTTGGGGCCTTTGGTCCTTCCTGTCCCCCGGGGGGCATCCAAGAGGTGACTATCAACCCGAGCCTCCTGCAGCCACTTCACCTGGAGGTGGACCCTGAAATTCAGAGAGTCAAGACCCAGGAGCGGGAGCAGATCATGGCTCTCAACAACAAGTTCGCCTCCTTCATTGACAAGGTGAGTACTCCAGGGGCAGGCAGAGTATCTGGTCCCTGACCAAACAACTGAGAGGGCCGTGTGCCCTGCCACCTCTCACCACATTGCGCTGTGTCAGTTTGGTGGTGACAATTACTTCCAGATGTGTGTGTCCTGGGACCTCAAAAAAACATTTACTTTGTTTAGGCCCTCAATTAATGAGGGAATTCAACTCTATCTTTTCATTTTGGCAGGAAAGCAGATAAAAGGTGTCAAAATACCCAACAGACATGGTGTAGCAACCTTATTCTCATTCATCATTATTCACTTTCCATCCATCCATCCATCCATTCATCCATCCATCCATCCATCCACTCATCCATCCCACAAACATTTACTAAGCATCTAATATATGCCAGACACTGTACCACAGGGTGATGACAGGACGACTAAGACGCAGGTCCTGCCCTCAAGGAGCCATGGCAGAGCCTAAGTAAATGTCCTGGTAGGTATTGCTGGGGGGTAAAGTAAATAACATACTAAGTAGGATTCTGACTGAGTCCCTCATTTTAGCTCAAGGGCCAAAAATAGGCCAGATGAAGCCATTGAAGCCCTTCTCCCGAGTTTCCTCATTAAATCTCAGATTATGACTGGTCCAGGCCCAAATCACTAAGCAGAGGCTGATGGAAGACCCGTGGTAAACGCTTTTCTCCACCATTTCCTCTTGTTCAGAGGTGGAGTCAAGGCCGCTGCTGTAGAATCCCCAGAAGATTTTTTGCTCTTGGGATGTAGTGAGAAGCACCACAAAGGCCCCTGGATGCTCAGTGACTTTCCCTCAGTCCCCACAGGAGTTCTGTGTTGAGGCCAGAGTTTAACCTGTGGTCTGGCTGCTGAGTAGCCATGGCCAAAGTCCAGCGTTGGGCTGTATACCAGACCTCTGATATCTGGGTAAATTCTGGGGACAGGACAGAGTGTGTGAGCTGGGGGAGGAGGCCTGGAGATAGCCAAAAAAGAGCTCCACAGAGCTAAATGCTTCTGGCTACTTCTGATGATCTTGGATGGGAAATTTGGCTGAATATTATCACGCCTCAGGCACAGACAGGGACTGGGGAAGCTTGACTGGAACGAGGAGGTGACAGGTGAAGGAGACACCACTGGGAGGTCAAGGCCAGGCCAAGGCAGGGTCAGGGACAAGAGCAGGGCGGGGTGGGGGGTTGGTCAGTGAAATGGCCATGGGTGGCAGGCAGCTGGTCTCCTGAGACTTTCATTTGATTGTGGTTCCTGCCATTAATAGGACATCTGTTCAGTTTTGTGGCATGGGGCTGTGGGCAGAGGCCAAGATGTAGGAAACCATGGCTTCCTGTCCTTCCCCAAGGGCATGGCTGGTGGTGCCACGAGGAGAGAAGCCTCATTCAGGAGGGCCCTGGCCTGGCTGGAAGGGAGACGCCTTCTATTGCAGTGACTCTTGACCCTCGTTTCTGATCTGGTCCTCCTTTCACCCTTAACTCCAACCAGCCTATTCTTAGCACCACACGAGAGCCATCCTTTAAAAATATCATATTACTCCTCCGTTTGAGTCCTCCATTGGCGACTTATTTCATTTAGAATAAAAGCCAAGATCCTGCGAGGCCCTATATGATCTGGCTCTCCAACCCACAGCTGCTGCTAACCCCTGGCTTGCATTTGTAAGAATTAGGTAACGCTTGCTAACCATTGGATGAAACGGCTCACAAGCCACAAGTTTTAGTGAACAGAGTGAGGGCTGGAATTCAGCTACCCAGGATACAAACTCACTGTCTGCAGTGGTCCTCCACTCCCTCTCTGCTTCCTTTCCTGCTTTCCTCTTACTTACTGGCAACGCTATTGCATTCTTGCATCCTCCAGCATCCGAAGTATGGTCCTGCCTCAGGGCCTTTACACTTGCCTCTGCTTGGAACTCCTCGCTTCCAAAGAGTGAGTTGGCTTCCCCCGTCACCTGCTTCAGGTCTTTGCTCAGATGCCACTGTCTCAGTGAGGCCTTCCCTGATCTCCCTATTTAAAGTAGCACCCCCGCCCCAGCATCTCTGTCCACCATGCCTGGGTTATTTTTCTCTATAGCCACTATAGCCATTCAATACACTGTATATTTCACATTTCTTTACAGTTGTCTCTCTGAATGGAATTCAAACTCCTGAAAAGCAGGGATTTTTGTCTGTTTGGTTTATGATTAAACTCCAAGCATCTAGAATAGTGCCTGGCACATGATAATTGCTCATTAAATTGCCCTGTGTTGAATGAAAAACTGAATCAGTCCTTCAGGTGTCAGGCTTGACCCTCAGAGAGTGGGAATGGAGATGAAGGCTTTTTTAAAACCAGTGACAAGGGAAAGGGACCTCAGGAGGGAAAGGGCGGGGGGTGGATTTCAGCCCTTTTCATGGGGACACTGGCCTGTATTTGCTCAGCTGACCTTGAGTTCTCTATGCCAGGGTAGTGAGTGGCCTGGATAGTCTACACTAGCAGACAATTCCAAAGCCCTTAGCATTTCATTAGTCTCTGATACTTATGAACTGTCTTCTCAGTGTTGGGCACTGAGTGTCCATTGGTCTCAACACCTTGCTTACTGGAGAACAAAGCAGACGTGGTTTGCCTTCCTGGAGCTCACACCGAAAGGCTGTAAATCATAATAGATGCCGCAGGGGAAAAGAACAGGGAAGACACCAGGGATGCCACTTTAGCTGAGATCTAAAGGGTGAATAGGAGTTAGTCAGGCAAAGAATTGGAGAGATCTGGGCTGCTGGTGGCTAGAATGTCATGAGCAGGAGGGAGAGGAGCACAAGAGGCCGAGTGGGGTGTGCTTTTTCCAGCAAGAAGGTTAGCTCAGCATGACGTAAGTTTTATCTGTGTTAACTGAGCACCCCCTGAGTATTGCTGATGGGGAACACAGCCCAGGAGTGTTTTGGGGGCCTGGAGAAAGATCACAATGGCTTTCAATGATTTGTCTAGTGGTTTCATCCCATTACAATTATCTGGCAATTCCTGAAGCCAGCCTCTACCTTTGCAGTTTGGGTGGCCTGCTGAGAACCACGGTTTCTTTGACTAGGGGGACTCAGGCTAAGCTCAAAGTACCCAGAGCTGTCCTACTGTCCTCTCATTGTTTGATGTGGAAATTCATAGTGGGACCATAAGATTCTTTCTTTTGGTCCCTACAACGCAGAGCACAGGGCTGTGAACAAGTGTTCAATAGATTTCTCCACCCCCTGGGAGTGCCGCCAGAGTAGAAAATAGGCCAGGTGGCAGGGATGTCTCACGGGGTGTTACGAGTTGTGTGGACAAACCTGGGAGAGCTGGTTGCCTTATCTCTTGCTTTGATAAGTTGAACAAAAATAAGCCATGAGAAAGTGTTCTCTTGCACAAATTTTCCAACCTAGAGTCAGAGCCCAAAGGGAGTTAACAAAGGCTGGACCCTCAGATGGGCAGCCTCAAGAGATGGGGATTCTGGGCACCCTTCTTAGTGCCATATTGTAGGAGGGTGTCTTCAGGTTCTTTTTTGACAACACAAGCAGTGGGTTTGTCCCCATACACAGCCCCCAGGCAGTTTCTGGAGTGTGCGCGTGTGTGTGTGTGTGTGTGTGTGTGTGTGTGTGTGTCTGAACAAAGCATAGAGGCATTCATGGTCTTCACCTAAGACACGGGAGGGGGGCTCCACCTGTGGGCAGCCGATAGAGGTAGGTGAGGGTTGATCATTATTAGGCAAAGGACAGTCCATGCGCTTGGTCTGCATAGCCAGCCAGCTCTCTGGACCCTCTACCTGACCTTTGCAACTACAGTTTTGGGGAAGAGGTGGTGAGAATATAGGATGATGTCCACTTTCCATTCTCTGTGCTAATGAAGGAAATAGAAACTGGGTAGCCCCTGAATACTAGATAACCCCAAAGTCCTGACTTTGGGGCATTGGAATGCATTATATAACATGAAAAAAAATGAGACCATCTATGTACTGTTAAAATTCTATCTATTATAGGAGCATTTAAATGAGGTGACCTTCCTGAAAAACATATTGGCAGACAGTGGAGGTGGTGGGGCCTGCAGGGTGGGAACACCCAGGCAAGCTTGCTCAGGAATCAGTTTAATATTCTAAGTCAAATTGTTCCTTTCCTCCTTTTATTTTCTCCTGTCCTCAGTCACATAATGTGTTTCAACCACAAAGAGGAATGAGCCCTGGATGTGTTAGATGCTCTGATCATCATTTCACCATTTCCTCAAGTTGGCATGGATAAACTGAGTGACAGCTCTCTGATGTAAATGGGGGTAGCTAAAGGAAACAAGGAGCCTAACTGGAGGGATTTACCTTCAACATCAGAGTTAGCTTAGTGTTAATTTCAGGCAAGTTGACCTTATAGCCATTGGTCAACTATCAGCAACCACGCTGTGCTCATGTGTCCTGGTCCCAGAAAAAGGGAAGCTCTCTGACCCTCAGAGGGGTCATCTTGATTCTCTGAGTCCTGGATATGCTGTGGGGCTGCCCATCCTCCTCCCCGTGAGGATGCTTCTCAGATCCACAGCCTGAGGTGAACTTAGAGGTCTTTTCCTCTTAGGTGAGATTCCTGGAGCAGCAGAACCAGGTGCTACAAACAAAATGGGAGCTGCTGCAGCAGATGAATACGTCGACTCGGACCAACAACCTGGAGCCCTTCTTGGAGAACTATATCAGTGAGCTGCGGAGGCAGGTGGATTTTCTCAATGCGCAGCAGATGCGCCAGAACACGGAGGTCATGAGCATGCAAGATGTGGTGGAGGACTACAAGAACAAGTGAGGCTCCAGGCAGGGTGAAGGGCTTGGGGAGCAGCATGGCAGGGAACTGATTCAAGGAGCAAGACATTCTGCTTACTGGATGTGTAAGGGGTGGGATCAGGTGCACCAGGCACAGTCATGCAGGCTCCATACTGCACAGCTGCAGGGGGTGCCATTTTGTACATGGTAGCCCCAGTAGGATGGTATTGCCAGTCAACTCTCAATGTATTGCATGGGGAGGAGCAGACTAGCCTCAGTTCCTGTGTGGGCATGGCCACTGTCTGGCTGCCTGCAAGTTCATCTGTCTAAGCCTTTAGTTTTCACATTAGTAAAATGGAGATAGTGAGTAACCTCCTTGCTGGATTATTGTGAGGGGTAGATCTGTGGCTCTCAAACTTTAGCGTGCCTCAGCTTGTGAAAATCAGATTGAGTAGGTCTGGGATCGGGCTGGAGTGTTTTTGTTTCTAATGTTTTCAAGCTGATGCTGGGGGACTGGGGATTACATTTGGAGATCCACTGGTTTAGATGAAATTATTCTTAATACATTCTTAGGCTGTGTCTGTACTTGCTAAGTACTCAGTAAGCACTAGCTATTATTAATAATAATGATGATAGGAGTGATAGGGCTTGTCTAATTCTAGGTCAGCTGCTCCTGCACCTGCAGACAACTGAGAGGCCTTTCTCTCCCCATGCTGAGGGGTGCAGGGTGCTTCTCTAAATATCACCCTGTCATGCTTATTGCATTGGGCCAGTACACAGTCAAGTGTGTGTGAGTTGAAAAGGGAGAAATGAAATTCACACTGAAGGTGTTGGGGGGCAGAATCGTAGATGAGATTTTTTTCTCTTTAAAAAGATTTAGCAAAAGTGGTTATTTTAAGTTCTCAATTAAAAAAAAAGGAATGAACTTGACAAATTTACAAATAAAAATGGGGCTCTAGGTTTTCCATGTTGGGTTGTTGTCCCCTCTGTTGACCTGGAGAACGAGGAGCTGGCTCTAGCTGCTTGTCAGTGAGAGCAGCAGGCCCTGGTAAGGTACAGCCAGAGTCCAGGACAGTAAAAATTTAAGGGATTTCAAGCCTCCCGCTGCAGGAGAAATCTCAAGGAGCCAAGATCAGCCCCTGCAGCCTGTCTGTGTTTCTTACCTCCCCCCACAGATATGAGGAAGAAATCAACCGGAGGACCAACAATGAGAATGACTTTGTCATCCTGAAGAAGGTGAGGAATGGGAGAGTCCCTAGGAGGACTGTGGGCCCAGGAGGCTGAACAGAGTGAGGAATTCCTGTGGGATGCTGTGTGACTGAGGGATAGACAGGGTGACCGTGGGGGCCAGCTTGTTGAGTGTGCTGGCCAAGTGCTGGGGCCCCTTACACAGAAGGGGAAAGTCTGAAAGTGATGTTATTGTAATACGAATCTTTAGGAATACTTGAGTTTTTAATCTCTTCAGGGTCCTGAAAGTGAAATTAAATTAACAAACAGCTTTTGAGTGTCAGTTATTTGTGGCCTTGGGACCTGGGGAGTGACCTGGGTGTTGTATGTGATAGACCAAGATGAAGAGCTTGGTGTCACACTTCATTCTGGCCAGAAAAATCAAGGTTTGCAGTTCCCTTATTTGAGTAAGGTGAGGAAATTTGCAGGTGAGGAAATAAACCCAGAGGGGCCTTGCCACTTGCCTGGGCCACCCAGCCAGTTGGTGGCAGGCAACACCAGGCAAAAAAAGTCAGACTGCCTTTGCTTGCTTTTCAGGATGTGGACGCTGCCTATATGAACAAAGTGGACCTGCAGTCCAAGGTGGACGCTCTGTTTGGGGAGGTCAATTTCCTGAAACAATTATTTGAGATCGTGAGTTCAATCCTCATAAGAAACCCTTGTCTTTTCTCATATCTTACGAGAGGTATGGGCTGTTAAGAGGGGGAGGCCTGAAACCCAATGTTGCCTACTAGGGACTCCTCTCCCTGGTCACCTCAACTCTGTGGGCCTGGAGTCAGCTGTGCTCTTAACCCTCAGTGACTTTGATTCCTGGATGGGGGCACTGGAGATGGGAGGCAGGGAAAATCCTGAGGTAGGAGAAGGTGAAGCCATCCTCACTTCTGTCTGGGAAATGAGGTTAATACCTGGGACATACAGTGGCAAAACCAACCAGAAATCTTCATCAGCACTGGCAAGTTGATGGGGGTTATTGGGGAACTCCATAGGAGAGGACAGGGTGGATCTTAAAGGGAATGAAGATGAAGACTGCAGTGGTGACAGATAATATGCTGTTACCATCCCTGGTCCTATAGTCACCCATGTCTAAACTGGGGGCACTGCTCTGGGCCAGGTGCTGTCTTATGAGCTCTACTAAGTTCTGGGTATCTCCACTCTACAGACGAGAAAACGGAGGCACTGAGAGATTCAGTTACTTGCTGGGTTACCTAGCTAGTCAATGGTAGAACCCAAACTCAAAAGTGAGTGTGAGTGGCAGTAGAGGTGTAGTCCTTTCTATGGTGTCTGAGAACTCCTGTGGTTTCAAGGAGCAAGTCTGCCTGTCACAGGGCCCAGCCCAAGATGGCAGTCAAGCCAGAGTAAGGCAGATAGATATACAGGGCACAGGAGCAGCATAATGGGCAGGTGGTGTCTACAAGGGCTCTGAGTTCAGGCTCCTTCTTCTCTTTGGAGGCTAGGTCTGGGTGCCTTTACCTTTAGTTAAGGTACCTCTCAGTGCACAACAAAAATTCAAAGAACTTTCCCCTAAAACTCCTATGTGGCCCAGGCTTCTGGCTTTTCCAGAGAGCCTTGAGGGGGCAGAAAAGGGAAACTGAGGCCCTAGGAGGACAGTGGAAAGAGTTCGCCTGTGGTCCATTCCTCGCAGGAGCTGTCCCAGATGCAGACCCAGATCAGTGACACCAATGTCATCGTGTCCATGGACAATAACCGCTCCCTGGATCTGGACAGCATTATCAGCGCTGTGCAGGTGCAGTATGAGATGATCGCCCAGAAGAGCAAGGAGGAGGCGGAGGCCCTGTACCAGACCAAGGTGAGCACTGCTGTTCCCTGCCCAGACTCGGCATTCCAAACCAAACATACATCCTGGAACTTGTGTTGTCGCTCTCTTATTTCTGAAGTAAAACATGTTTGTTACAGAAAACTGAGAAATTACAGATAAAGATTACTCATCTCCTCTACCAATATTAATATGTCAGCATATTTTCTACCAGTTCATTGTAGCTATCATTTATTGAAAGCTCATATGTTTCAGGCACCACACTATGTGCTTTATATATATATTATTTACTCCTACAACAACCCTATGAGGCAAGGATTTCATTATTCCTATTTTATATATACTAAAGTATGAGATTGCCTAATTTCCCTAAGGTCTTGTGGCTGGTAAGTGGCAGGGGCAGAACTTAATTGAACTCAGGTGTGCCTCCAGCAACCCATGCTCTCCGTCATTCTTATTTTTTCATAGTGAGGTCTTTTAAAATATAGGCCTGTACTTTCCTCTTTTATTTATCACTTTCAATGCCTTTCTGTGACATTAAGTATTTTACATCTCCTTTAATAGCAGCGTGGCATCTATGGTAGGAATATACCCTTACTTATCAGATAAACACCTTTGAAATTAAATCTTTGGGCACAACTTTGGCTACTTCTTTTTTTTTTAAAGATTTTATTGGGGGAATCGGGGAAGGGGAACAGACAAGTTGCTGTCGTTTTGTTCTTCAGTCTAGTTGTGGAGGACGTTGCTTCACTGGCCCATGTTGGCACCATCATTGCGCTCTTCCCAGCTGAGGCAGATCGGCAACCTTGCTTCCTTCAGGGTCATGGCCTGTGGGTAGAATTCCTATTACTGTGGCCACATAGGCATGGAAAAGGAGATAGAGAAGAAAATGAGACTAAACGTGGAGTGTGCCAAGGGCCCCTTAGGAAATGAGGGCTTGACTGCTAGGAAAATCATTCTGGAAAAGGGTAGGAAGAAAGACAGCAGGGTGGGAAAAGTGAAGGGGGGGTTGTCCCAGTGTGGTAAAGACCAGTGTAAAGGCTTAGGTATGCGGAAAAGGAGGTAAAACGGGCATCACGAACTAGCTTTGTTTATCTGGGATGTGGGGCTGACCCAGAGACTGGTGGGAATGAGGGAGGCTTGATATAGATGTATGTATGTATGTATGTATGTATGTATGTATGTGTGTTCAGAGCTCAGATAAGGGAGGTTTGGTACAGGTGTGAGTGTGTGTGTATGGGAGCATAGCTGGGGGGCGGGGAGAGGGAGGGGTGAGTTCTCTGGGAACTTTCCCACGGCAGAGTGGTCTTGGGTAGGGTCTAGGTAGGTAGACCTACTCCTCCCTGGAAGGGCTCATGGTGAGCAGCAGGCTGACTGTGGTGCTGCCTTTGACCCTCAGTACCAGGAGCTCCAGGTGACAGCGGGAATGCATGGAGATGATCTGAAGAAAAGCAAGATGGAGATTACAGAGCTCAACCGCACCATCCAGAGGCTGCAGGCAGAGATCAGTAATGTCAAGAAGCAGGTGAGATGGGTGCTCAGGGTGGGCTGTCCAGACATGTCACCTCCCATGATGCCCTGCAGGATGGGGCTCCTGAAACTTACCCCCCACCCCTCACCATGCTTCTAACCGTGACCGTCTCCTGAGCAGATTGAGCAGATGAACTCAGTCATTTTGGAAGCAGAGGAGAGAGGACAGCGGGCCCTCCAGGACGCGGGGCAGAAGCTGCAGGGCATGGAGGAGGCCCTGCAACAATCCAAGGAGAACATGGCCCGGCTGCTGCGTGACTACCAGGCATTGCTGGGAGCCAAGCTGTCCCTGGACGTGGAGATCGCCACCTACCGCAGGCTGTTGGAGGGCGAGGAGAGCAGGTGGGCCATATTTTGGAACCAAAGTGCAGGTTGTACCCCTGGAGCTGTGGGACTATTTGGAGACAATAGCTTTTCTGGGAGGATTGGTAACCCAAGATGAGCAGAAATATTCAAGTCAGAAGCGAGGATGTGTGATTTGGTGGGGTCATTATCATTCTCTTGCCTCTAAGCAGAATGTCCCTATATCCCAACCCAAGCCATTGCAGCCAGGTGGTGACCCCACCCCCACCTCCCCAATGCTAAAAGTCTTCAAGAAAATGCTTAAAATCCCTTCTGTTCTCACTGGCCCCCTGACCTCCCTGCCCGTGCACATACACCTTTCCCATGTGCAACAAGGCTGGGGGACAGCTCCACTACTGGTGTCACCAGACTGCTGCCTGCTTTCCTTCTGGCTTTGCAGGTCTGGCTGATGTGTGCTTTGGTTTTACAGGATGTCAGGAGAACTGCAGAGCCACGTGAGCATCTGTAAGTAGCAGAGCCTAGGGCTGGGGCTGGTTGGTGCTGAGTGGAGGGAGAGCCCAGCAGGGTTGCCCAGCAGGGAACTGCCAGGGGGCATTTTAGTTTCCAGTCCCACACAGTGAGAGTCAAATGAGCAAACACAGCTGCAAAGCGTGGAGAAATTTGTTGAAATAAATTATTTTAGCTCTTCTTTACCTTAGTTTTTATGATCCCTAATCATCAGCATGGCTTAGAACGCTTTAGGGTATATTAATAATGAAAATGTACCCTGATATCTTTTTGTAGTGTGAAGAATACTTTGGAAATGAATATACTTTCATTTAATGTATCTTTTTGCAAGTCAGATGCTACCAGTGATGAAGGATGCAGGAGTCTGTGCGGAGGGTGGGTGCAGGTTGGTCCCCCTGCCTAGTCCTTCTGACCCCCGACTGGGCTGCCCTCTCCCTCCACAGCTGTGCAGAGCAGCCAGATGTCCCTCAGTGGCTCAGGGGGCGGAGGTGGCCGAGGCTCTGGAGGTTACAGCGGCGGCGGCGGCGGCGGCGGCGGCGGCGGCGGCAGCGGCGGTGGCAGCAGCTGGGGCTACGGAGGCAGCGGCGCCGGGAGCTCTCTGGGGGGCGGCAGTGGAGGTGGTTATGGGAGCAGCGGCGGTGGGAGCAGCAAGTACAAGGGCAGAAGCGGCGGGAGTTCTTCCCGCGTGCAGATCATCCAAACTTCTACTAACACCTCCCACACGCGAATCATGGAGTAGAAGTGGCTCACTCCTGTCCCCTTTTCTACGTCCTTCTGACCCCCTCTCACTTACCTTTTCCCGATGGGTCTCAGCAGTTTTGCCAATCAAGTCCACTCTAGATGGGGAAGTAGGTCTATCTATGGAGGGCACTGGCTGGAAGTCAGAACACAGCCAGTCTCATTCTCAAGTCAGATTCCACCCAGCTGGCCCTGCTCCTGTCCCAGGGGATGCCCAGGGCCCAGTTTAGCCATGAAGTGTAGAGCATCTATAAGGCAGGTAATGGAGAGTCGAGGTCAAGCACACCAGGTTTCTCAGTTCCAGGCTCCCTTTCCTGCGCCTGAGCTGCCTGGGAACAAGAATCCATCCCTCAGGGACCCATAAAATGAGGCCATTGGGTGAGTGGTTGATGGCAAGGCAAGCTAGCTTGGTACAGGGCTCCTCTGTACCGGGGACCAATTCCTGCCTTTTGGCCTATAGCTTCACACTATCATGAAGAGTGTGGATTGGCTGCCCACAGCAGACACCTGCAAGTCATGTCCGGGCCTGATTCTGAATCTCTGCCTCAAGAAGCATTAGCCCCTGGGTTAGCAGCCCCAGGTGGGACTATTTCAGAGGGCACGAGTCCTTGTCCCCAGGGAGGAATGTAATGAGCAGTGAATAGAAGAGCTGACAGACAAGCACACAAGTTCTGTTCTGTCCTGCCCCTCCTGACAGCTTCATTCTTTGGAAGCCTGGCCCCGACTCTGCTTAAGAATTGTCTAACAGGTTGAGCACATGCAGTCCAACCACTCTGTCCAGGTGCCCAGGCCTTGAGGAGTTTGAGGATCAGACTTGGGTCTTGGGAGGTTCAATTCTGAACCAGGCTGCAAGCTGCCTGCCATTTGCAAAGCAGCTTAATGCTCTTTCCCAGACTGCAAAGTCCTTTCTGCCTCCTGTTCTCTGTGACCGAGCACTTTGTGAGAATTTGACTCTTCATTTTGGGACTTACATAAGATGACTGAGATGTGCTGGAGGGGACAGGAAGAGGAAATTATTGGCCAACTAATGGGTCTTGAGAGAGAGAAGGTGGGTTTGCTTCTAAGATCTGGAGTCACCTTCACTTGCTTGCTGAGTCCTAACACAAACTCCCAGTCCATGATTCTCTTGAGGCATCTGATGAGCTCAGCATAGGCCCTATGGGGAGTGCTGTGACATCATCATTTCCTGGCTGAAGGTGGTACCTTGAAATTTCTGGTGTTTTTGCAATAAACTTTTCTGTGATCTCAAACTGCTGTTTGGTCAGGAGATGAGTTA